CATGTCACTGTACACTGGAAAGAGAGAACACACGCATAGTTCAAGGCTCGGATCACTGAGGAAAAAAATTATTTTCTTTATTATTATTATAATTTAAGGTCATTTTATGCTTAACTGAAGTTTATTTTGCAAACACCTATGATCTCAAGAGTGGTTCTAAAAGAGCTTTGGTTCCATGTCTACAACTATGGATTTGATTTTTTTCCCTTTGTAACTAAAGTATTTTCTTCATCTATATCCCCTGGCATACAGTGGAGAAAACAATGAATCTATTGAAACTCATCTGAAAAGAAATAATCTGTCTTTGAGATTTTACAGAACGTGATATATCCTTTGGCTGCTAATAATGACGATGAGATTAGGTTTTTAGATGGTTTTAAACGATATATTTTGCTAAACGTTTCCCCTGACTGTAACAGATGAAGAGTTTCACAATACATTTATCACTGGAGATTAAAAAAAAAACCCCAAACTGATAGAAAATCCAGCCCTTTAATATCCAGCTATTCTGTGAAGCAGATGGAGGAATTGATCTGATCCTGACAATTGTCGTTAAATAATTTGTTCTGGCATCTCTTTTAATATAGACTTCAGCGTGACTGACATATTTGTCGGTCAAATACAAATATTATACGTCATTTGATTAAAAGAAAACGACTCCGCATGTCGAACATCTGCGCAGACAATCAGCTCAAGGTATGACAAGCATGAACTCTTTAAACTAAATATGTTGTTGTGGTCATAATGAAAACGAGTAATAAAAATATGTACCTTTCCCTTTGGAGCTTTATGTTACCCAAGCCGGACATTTAAATGAGCTGTTTGAGGGTTTTTCTATTTTTCTACGTGGATGCTTCATCGTTTCCTTTGTGTTTCTAATGTCCTATTTTCCAAGTGAATGTCTGCTATTCAGTGGCCGTGTACCAGGACATTGGCCTCGATTAAGCTCATGGGACAGTGATTTACTGTATATATGCTACATTACTGAAGCTATGAAATAAACAGGCTATCAAATATTAAGTTTATACCTGCTGCACCACAATATATTTTAAGGCAGAACACAAGATTAGAACGTGTTTCAACGTAAACATTTCAATTGACGCAATAAATACATGATAAGTCTGGTTAATATTTCTATATCAGACCTATTTAGATGCTCTGTGACTATATGATAACGGAGACTAGCTGACTGTCCAACTTTAAAACAGCATCACTCACGTCTGCGTCCACCAGCCTGATAAACGTAGCAGGCACAAGTCAGAAGAAAAATGTATTGCA